GTGTTCTGGGTGGGGATCTGCAGCAGCAGGGCCAGGTCAGCCCAGTCCAGTCCATCCCAGTCCTATCCCAGTCCCATCCCAGTATATCCCAGTCCCATCCCAGTTTATCCCAGTCAGTCACAGTCTATCCCAGTGCCCTCCCAGTCCCTCCCAGTCCGTCCCAGTGCCCACCTGGGTGTTCTGGGTGGGGATCTGCAGCAGCAGGGCCAGGTCAGCCCAGTCGAAGGTGTCGTCCAGGGCCAGCAGGGCCCCGTGCACTCCGGACTCGCTGAGGTTTGGGGCGAAGTCGCGCAGCCCCACACTGCTGAGCCACGAGCTCAGCCGCTCGTTGGACCAAACCACCACGTCTGGGAGCGCCAAATACAGCCCAAGATACAGCCCGAATGTACCCCAAAATATAGCCAAAATATACCCAAATACAGCCCAAAATATACCCAAAATATACCCAAATACGGCCCAAAATATACCCAAATACAGCCCAAATACAGCCCAAAATATACCCCAATACAGCCCAAAATATAGCCAAATACGGCCCAAAATATACCCAAAATATACCCCAAAATATACCCAAAATATAGCCAAAATATAGCCAAATACAGCCCAAAATACAGCCCGAATGTACCCCAAAATATACCCAAAATATACCCCAAAATATACCCAAATACAGCCCGAAATATACCCCAATACAGCCCAAAATATAGCCCGAATGTACCCCAAAATATACCCAAAATATAGCCCAAATGTACCCCAAAATATACCCCAAAATATACCCAAATATAGCCCAAAATACAGCCCGAATGTACCCCAAAATATACCCAAAATATACCCCAAAATATACCCAAATACAGCCCAAAATATACCCCAATACAGCCCAAAATATACCCAAAATATACCACAAAATATACCCAAATACAGCCCGAATATACCCAAATACAGCCCAAAATATACCCAAAATATATCCCAAAAACAGCCCAAAATATACCCAAAATATACCCAAAATATACCCAAAATATACCCAAAATATAGCCCGAATACAGCCCAAAATACCCCAAAATATACCCAAATACAGCCAGAATACAGCCCGAATGTACCCCAAAATATACCCAAAATATACCCTGAG